CGGCCGGGCGGGGGGCCAGGGGCACTGCCCGGCCGGGCCCGGCTCCGAGCTTCATTCCGGCGGCGCCCAGAAACGGCCCAGAGGCTTTGCCCCGAGGGCCCCGCGCGGGAGGCGACGGCAGCACCGCCTGCCTGCGGGCTCCCCGCCCCCGCCGCCCTCTCTTTGCTCTTCTTCCTCAACCCTCCTTTGCCACTTCTGTTTGGCAAGGCGGGAGCCCGGCCCGCCGAGGGGGACAGGTTGGCTCACGAGACCCTGCCTCGGGGCGTGTGTGACACACGGGCTTGGGGCACCCCCCTGCCCTGCCTGAAATATCCCTCTCAGGGGTCTGCGGGCCGCTTGCTCCGCTTCTGGCACCAAACACTTGCTATTGGTAGTAGTAGTATTAGTATTACTAGTATTCTCAACCTCATTATCATCACCATCACCACCATTATTACTATTATCACTGTTTCTCATTACTATTACTGATTACTCCTATCACTATTACTCCTGTCGCTATCACTATTACTATGACACATTACTATCACTAGTACTATTACTAGCATTATTACTGTTACTCTGCTGCTTGAAAGCACATGTACAATGAAAGACCTTGGTAAGCACAATAAAGGACCCCAAGCACGTGTAACGAAACGGTCAAACGTGGTGCAGAGACAGGAGAGGACGAGGACTATTAGGCTTATTCCTAGCACTATGACTTCTTACTACCAGGATCACTGTCAGTGTCACTGCCCCAGTGACGCCCGGTGGTTTTCCTGCATTGTTTCCAGGTCCCCGGGATCTCCCTAACTCTGACACGGTTGGCGAAGCTCAGGCTCCAACTCCCCCACCCACGCCCAGAGCCCCCTGGCTGCTGCTTCCCGCTGTGGGAGCGGGGCTTGGGGGAGCGTTTGGGGAGCCGCTGCAAGCTGCCCTTCCCCGGGACCCCCTGGTTTGGACACAGGCGGGGAAGTGCATTTTCCAGGGTTGGCTGGGCCTGCCTGCGTCAGGGCCGATGGGTTGGTGACACCCTGCCAAGGGGAGGTGGACCCCTCCGAGGGAGGATGCCTCATCTCAGGCGCCTCGATATAGAGGGGAGAGAAAGGGCTCCGTATGGTCAACCTTGAAGCTTGCGGCTGGCATTGCATAGCCTGTCATTAAAGGCAGCGGCTCCCTTTCCGGAGCGGACGGAGCCAGCTGCGCCGAGATGTTTGGCTTCTGGGTTAGTTCGGATTTCGCTCCTGCTTGGGATGGTGATGATGATGATGGTGGCGATAGCTAGTCAGCCCAGCCCTAGCCACTTAAGAAGGTGTCACGGGAGATCCACTGCAGGGAACGGGGCAGGGATCCAGCCCGCGAAGCAGCGACGCGCGCAGCTGCCGCTGCAGAAGGGGACGCCCCC